CACAGTTTTCAGCATGACTCGGCACTGTGTTATTTACTTTCTCTGCCTATTAGCCTGTGGGTCAAGAGATCTGTTATCCTAGAGCAGTTGAGTGTTAGAGTGGAACAAACCAAACACATCGTGTTATTTTTCTGTTTTAATAATCTGTGCTTTTATTTTTAAAATATATAGTTTTGCATCAGCTAAGCATGATTTGGATTTCTCCTCCAGAATTATAAGTCACCTGATTCTCTTTTGCTAAAAGAAAAAAGAGGTGGTGAGCTTTTTAGCTAAACATTCGTTTCATTATCCCCTTGTTCACAAGTGCTTGAGCCATGCCAGAGGATAATTGTCCAAAAGATTTAAACAAAGGAGTTCTGAGTTTTGTCTGGTCAAATCACTGAAATACATCATTAGAAAATATCTAGTAGTGACTAAAATCTTAAATCATGTAGATTAAAAATGACTTGCTGCTTCTACTTATCATGTTTCCATAAAAGCAGTTTTCAAAATATGTTCTCTTAAAATATCTTCAAAATAGTTCCTGGTCGAATGGAAACAAGTGTTGGGAAAATTCTCTTGTTGCAGATGTATTCATTAGTGTGGTGTTAGCATTGCCAAAAGGAAGGAGAACATGCCAGGGCAAACATGCTCAGCCCTGAGAACATTCCTTCTCTGAACTCGCCTTTCTTTCTCCTCTGCTCCCTCCTTGTCTAGAAGTTCCCTTGTTGCCATCGTTATCCAGAATGTAAATGGCTCTGCCAGAAATGCTGCCCACAGCCTGTCCAAGAACAAATGTGCAGGACATGTATGTGCTCACTTCCAGTTGTTTGCTTTCGGTATTTTTCTAACAATTGGAAAAGCCCAGTATAGGAAGAGAACATTATAGTCCGGAAGTTGTTAGAGTTGGTTGGCCTGGCTGTGCTTGGTCCACAGAGGCAAGGGCATAACCCTGTTTTCTGCCTACTTTGGAATAAGCGGATTTTGTGTGTCGTGGTGGTATTTCAGTATGTTGGTAGCTTTGTATTCTCCAGAATACTTGTGTTCCTAAAAATATGTCTTACAGAATAAATTTCCCTTAAGGACTTAATCTCTAGACATTTTCCCTTAAGTCTTCTGTATTCAGAGCTCTGGCCATTGTTATTAAATCCTACATTTTTAGAGCTGATAGTCCCTTTACAAACAGAGTAAGACTGGAGATTTTAGAGATTATATAGGCTAGCTGTTTCTCTTTGCAGCAGAGAAACAGTCCCACAGAAGTGAAGTGACCTGCCCAAGGCCTGCAGTTAATAGCAGAGTTGGGACTAACCCCACGTCTCTGTTAGTATTTTTCTCTCTCCAGTCTGATTCTACCCTCTGTCTCAGACCTGATACTGTTTTATACTTAGCAGGGGCACTGAGGACTGGGTTCCAACCCATTTATTACTAAAGAATGTACTTATTACTAAGTCCTTTTTGGCCCCCTGTATTATGTACTCTTGGACTCAACCAAGTCAAAAGTCTAGATTTAATTGAAAACAGTGTGGAAACTGTATTGATTCCAAATGTAATCTCCAGGCCTTGTGCAAGGAGGGAGGCCCCATAACGTTTCAGAGACAGTTTTGATAAACATGTAAAGGTCTTTCACCATAGCTGTTTTCTTGACTTATACCTTTGAAGTTCCCTGTGACATAAGTTGTTGAAGCTTCATTCTTACTGTAGGAGAGAGAGCTCATTCCATTTTGCTTGGGATCTGCCATTCCCCACCATTCTTTCCCCAGCAGGCTTCCCACGTTGCTCAATGAAAGCCAGCGTCCTTAAAAGGGCCCACAAATGCTCATCACCTCTCCGACCTCATGGCTGTTCTGTCCTTTATTCACTCCACTTCAGTTTCACTGCTTACTCTCTTGCTGGTCTTCAAACACGTCAGGCAAAGTCCTGGTGCACTTTGCACTTGGCTATTTGTGCTATATAAATGCTCTTCCCCTAAAGACTGAATGACTCCTCCCTCACCCCCTTCAGATTAAATCACCATCTCTGTAAGGCCCTCCCTGACCATCCTATTTAAAATTGCAGCCCCCATCCCAGCATTCCTATTCCGAGTCCCCTTCTTTGCTGTGTTTTCTCCATAACGCTTGCCCCCTTCTAACAGCACTTGTTTTTGAAGAGCTCTCCAGGTAATTCTTACCTATAGACAGCACAGGAAGCTTCTGCCGTAGATGTTGCTTCACTAGGTTTTACTTAGGAGAATCCTAGCAGAAGCAGGATTTTAAGTATTAAGATGAATTTTAGGTTCTTAATTGTAGCTTTAAGCAAAATACTTTTCACATAATAGAACAAGTCTCTTGAGTTAAACCTTATAGTGGCTAAACATTAGTGTTTCCCATGTACCAGAAAGTTTCTTGGCAGTCGTGATAGCAGTATATTCCTATATGTAACAAATCTTGAGGACCAGGTGCCTAACAACCTGAGGATCTTCTGATTTTTTGTAATGAATTTATCTTATTTAAACAAGAGTTTAAGATATGAGACCTCAAATAAAATAGTTGATTTCAGTGACTCTTTTCCTTAAAAGAGGTCAGCATTACATAACCTATGTATAATTAGGTTAACTTTAAAATGTTTGCTACTATTTATAATTTTTTATTTGAAAGTTTTTGTCCAATGTTAAAAATCACACATTGTAGACATTTTGGCAAGTCAGAAAAGTAGTAGAGAAATACTGGGGGAGTCTCTAAAGTTTACTCCCATTGACACTTATGTGTTTCCCTCTAGCCTTTTTACCTTGCTGTGATCTCCTTCTGGAATAGGAGTGGGGGTAGGGGCTTACGTGATTTAAAAGGTGTAATGGAGAAAATATTTCCACCACGAAGAACTAAGCATCATTAACAGTTGTACATATTTGCTTCCAGTTTCCTATCTATGTGCACACTTTTTAAAAAATGTAGCAAATAATATATGAGCACCTTCTGTCTTTTTAAAAGGCATATGGTGTTATAGATAAATTCATCTTTAATTACCATTCCCCATTCTGTTTCCTCATTCCACCATTGGCCCTGCACCCTCACTGAAATAATTACTTTTGTAAGTTTGATATATGTTGGCCCAGTACAGTTTCCATACTTGATACCATAGAGAATATGTAGCATTGCTTTGTTTTAGTTTCTCTAAACGATGTCATGCTGTAAATATATCATTCTGCAACTTTTTTCCCCCCTCAGGTTTGGATCTATCCAAGTTGATACTTACTGATCTAGTTCATTACCTTGGCTGTATAGGACTCCCAGTATATGGATGTACTACGGTTTCTCCAGTCCCTTTTTGATGGGGTTAAATTTGTGTCTTAGCTTTTATAAATAATGCTACAAAGAATAATCCTCATAGGTTTTCTCAAACACCTGTGTTAGTGTTTTTCTAGGATCCTGTAGATTTGTATCTGTCTTTTCTCCTCTTAACCTTAAGACATGAGCATTTCCATTGACTTAGTATAATCTCTTCATAAACACATACCTCTTAAATCTAGACTTTGAAACACCTTTCATTTCCATAATGAAAAATTAATATGAAATTGTAATTGGGCACAAGGCTTTTCTTTTTTACATCAGAGTAATTTAAACATTGCATGGACTCTCTTTCATAGTAGTAGGTAAAACATTAAGCTATTTCAATACAAAGGATTATAAAACAAAAATTAGAAGCATAGTTAGTACTTGGAGTGGCTAGAGCAATCAAGGACTGGCATACCTGGGATTTCGTGTTCTTATATCCCTTTTCTAAGTCTAGAGAACTTTCTTAGATTTTCTGAGATGTCCTCTGTCACAACTCATCCTTTAGGGTCCTACTCTGACGCCACTTCTCTGCATCTTTTGTGACAACTTCCTGGTCCCTGACTGTATCAGCTCTGTGCACACATTACTTTTTCATGTTTCTTGTCCCATAGCTACAGCGACCTCCTCAAGAATAGTGTATTATTTATTTATTTTGTACCCTAAACAAGCACAATGCCTGACACATAGGCGTTGGGACCAAATATATTTTGAATAAAGGAAAGTGAGACCATGTGAGGTGGGCATGAGAGAGAGTGGGAGTGGGAAATAGGGATGGTGACTTTAGTAAGGAATTTCAATTTATTGAAAGTGTGGAACGGAATAAGGACATTTTAAAAGGAAATGCCGTGATGATAAGGGTGATAAAATGACAGCTTTGACAGTGGATCTCTGCTGTAGAATATTGCCATCTGCATATATACAGACTGATTAAATCACCAGTTTTAAGTTAGAAAATAAATTAATTTCTTCTTAGAATTGAAATATCAGTATATTTGTTAAAGTCCATACTTGTTTTTCTAAGAATAAATAAAAAAGCTTGGATCCCTGACAGATCTAGGCACCTTACAGAATTTTTTCTTTAACTCCTTGCCTCATTCCTTGGTTGCCCCAATTTTAATCAAAGCTGGGTTTCCTGGAATGAGTAGACTGAAGTTAAAGGAAATATTTTGGTCACCATTCTTACGAAATCCTTTGTGGTTTGGAAGCAGTACTCCTTTAGCATTTCAACAGTTTCATTCATGTTCCGCACACAGTGCAGCAGAACAATACCAGTAACTGAGCTTCAGAAAGAGAAGTTCAAATGCAGAACCTCCTAATTTAGACATTGAACATTCAACTTTGGGGAGGAGAGTCAGAGAATAGCTTTTTAACTTTTATCAGGTCACTAGTTATAAACCATTTAATACTATCAATTTTCTTGGCAAGTACCTTCATAGCTGAGAAAACAATTTATTTTAATGATTATTTTGTATAAGAGGCTGCACTGCTCTCAAAGTTTGCACATTTTTACAATAGAATTCTAATGTATTTTAAGTAAATGCAAATGCCGCTGTAAGGAGAAGATATAGCCTTATCAGTAATCAAAGATTTAAGGTTGAAAATAATGAGTTATGGGTATCATCACCTTTTTCCAATACTGAAATTGTTTTCGGTACAGAATACTTTGATTGTTTCTGGGTACTTTTTGCTGCTAATTAACATCTCTTTTTACAGGATTCATGAATAAAATTTTCCATCCCAACATTGATGAAGCGTAAGTAACTTTAAAAATGTTTAAATCTTAGCAGCAGCTGCTCTTGATTAGAGTTCATCTCTCTCTTCATTATACAGAAGCTTCAATTATCTTTTTGGATTTTATCAGCAGATAGGACTGTATGAATGGTCACTTAAACTATGGAGTCCTAGAGATACGATATTCTAACCCACTTAGTTCAGATTCTGTTGGACTGCTTAGTTTTGCCATTGTCATGAATGGGTCCTTCATTTCCCTTGATAGCCAGCTAGCATTCATAATATTCCACATTTCCATTCTCTTTGTAGATACAATTCAGATACCTGTTTCCAGTATACAGATTTATTATTTTCAACCCTTAAAGTATTTCTTAGTTTGTGAGAGTAAAGCAAACATGAATGACTGTAGTTTCATTTCAGTTACTGAGTCTTAATTATCCCTTTATTTTTCTTCTAATATTAGTGATATTTTAAAATGTGATACCAGTGTCTCCTATTTTGTTACTTCCAGTGCTGTTTAGAATACATGATTATTTGTTCTGCATTTTTTTCCTTGTTGTGGCACTAAATTTTGATATTCCATGCACACATACCTGAGGGGTGTTCTGAACCCTGTGTGAGTAGGTTGTATACATGCACCCTGTCCCGTTGTCCATTAGTACTCCTGGGTCACAGTCATCCAACAGGAACATTCTCTCCTGTAACGGCAGTGCAGTCAGACTCAGGAACTGAATATTAATGTAGTAGTGCCTTTTAATCTGCCATATTCTCGCAGTGTACTTTTTAGCACTTTTTTTTTCATTCAGTAAAGGATCCAGTCTAGGCTCATGTATTGCATTTAGTTGTCATGTTTCCTTAAACTACTTTAATCTGGAACAGTTCCTCAGCTTTTTATAAAGTTGACATTATTAAAGACTGTAGATCAGTTATTTTATAAGACAGCTGCCCCTCAATTTGGGTTTGTCTGATGCTTCCTTACTACTCCACTGAGAGTGTGCACTTGAAGGCCAGGAAACCACAAAGTGCGATCGTGTGCTCAGGGCAGCTGTTTGGAGGCCGGGCTGCCCACCCCTGGTTCCAGTGTCGGTTCTCATCCCCTGGCTGAGGTGTTACTGGTTTCTGCATTGTATAGCTACTGTTGTTCCCTTTCAATCTGTAAGGAGACACTTTAGACTTTGTATACAGCGTGAGGCAAAAGTAGGTTTACAGTTGTTCGTGTGGAAAATAATGCAATAAATCAGTAAATGACACAGGAGAAAACTCTGTTTCACATACAACAGCTGTGAACCCACTTTTGCCCCACCCTGTGTATTCTGCTTCTCATCATACTTTTCCCCAGTTGGGATTTTTTAAAAATGATCTATTAAAAGTATTTTTCTTGATAAATAAAATTAGTTGCCAGATACATGCAACTAACTTTCTAATTTTTAAAAAAATGCCATTCTTTCCATCTGTTTCAGGTCAGGAACTGTGTGTCTAGATGTAATTAATCAAACTTGGACAGCTCTCTATGGTGAGTTTGGCCATGGAATATTTTTTAGAGATGTTGAGAACACTGCCTTAAAAAATGTTTGGCTTTTCTTCTCTGATTTAAGATGTTTTGTTGGGAATGGGAAGGGGTTTTGAAGGCCTGGATGGGATGGGAAAGTTTGATCAGTGAAAAAAATTTTATCAAATTCAAACTTTGGTTTAGCAGAAGTTTAAAATAGTCTTGTGAGATTCTGAAATTAAGGTTAGTAATATACATATGCAGACAGAGAGATACACATAAAAATGTTTGCATATCTGTGTATTTAGAAGCATATTGTATACATGTTTATCTGTAATTTTTTTCTTTTCTTAGAAAAACTTTTAGGAATGTCCCTGTGGAATGATATGATATCTTAAGAGGTTTGGGGGATCATCAGTTTCAAAGTCCTAAACCTTGCTATGAAGCAAAGAATAATTTAGCTTTCCCTTTAGTGCTGAAGTTGACATCTCTTACAGTGAATCAACAATGAATTGCCTAGTTCTGCAAAATACTATGCTAAATATCACAGAGAAATATAAGGACTATCAGGCCTTCTCTCCCTGAGCTTGTAACTTGGTTGGGGAGCTAAATATATTTTAAAATATAATTAAAGTTAATTGGGATACAACAAATTAATATGTTTATTCCCCCACATGTCTGAGTCCTCATACATCACAGACTCTCCCTGCTTTCATGCCCCCACCCCATGAAGCTTCCCCTGATGCTCAAGCTGGGAGTACTCTCTGGCCACTTACATTTTATAGCTCTTTTTTTGTGGCCTGCATTTACTTTCATTGTGTTTGTTGTTATGCCTGTATTTTTTGTGTGCTACTAGATGATTTCTGCCTTAATCGCCGTTTGAGGTGTGCATGTCTGATTTGTCTTTTTAAGTCCTGGCACTCCTAACACCGTGCCCTGTACCAGTGCGTTTGAAACAATGAGTGGTATAAGCAGTGCTGAGGGACATGAGAAGAGGGAGGAAAGATCCTTTAGGTTGGGGTTAACCAGGGATGGCCTGCTCTTGAAGAGTTGTGAGACCTTTGAAAGGTTTAAGGTGCCTAAGACATCTTTTTCCAGCCACAGTCCTGTTAGTCACTTTGCCAGACACCCTTGTAACTAGGATGGTGCATGAGACTCACAGGAAAGTTGGTCACCAGCAGCACCTAGTCCTTCTTTTTTCTCCTCCTGATTCTGCTATTTAAGAATTATTTCTTCTGCCTAGAGTTTTCTTCCCTAATCTTTGTGTGGCTGGTACCTTCTTTTCTCACCTCAAACATTACTTCCTAGAGAAGCCTTTTTTGCTAGCCACTCCATCTTAAATAATACCCATCCATAGCACAGCACCCCATTATAAAAAAGTCTTTAAAACCAGTATTTGTGTATTGCTTACCTTGTCCTATTAGATTGTAAGCTCCACAAGAGCAGGGACTTTGTTGTATGTGCACATGCCCATATACACGTGTCTAAAACAGTGCCTGGTGTACTATATGGGTTCAAATATTTGTTGAGTTAATGAGTGAAGTAATCATGCCCAGTACTGTTTAACATGAGAGTTTTGGGGAAATTACAGCTTATAAGGAGAAGAGGCAACAAGAAAGAACATATACTCTGAGGTTGATTTAATGGATTCCTTTTAAGATGGTTTTTTGGTAAAAATGTCTCATGGCAGGCTGCCTGGAATATCTGATGTAATGATGTCTTTTCTTAAACTGTGTTCACATTTTAGAAATGTACATAACAAAATACTGCAAGCTGGTTCCCATTACAATAAAGTAAATCGGACATTAGTTCAACTAATTCTTTTACTATTGACCAGAAAACCTTTGTGGAAGGGGTTTGCTGATTCTCAAGTAGCTCACATCTCAGAACAGATTATTTTTAAAATAACAGCTTTATTAAATTATAATTTATATACATAAAATTCACCCATTTAAAGTGTGTAATTTGATAGGTTATAGTATAGTCACAGTATGTACAATCATTACCACATTTTCATTATAAAACATTTTTATCAACTCAAAAAGAACCCCCTTATCCTTTAGCTATCACTCCTTTAACCCTCCTATCTCCCCTCCCCCAGGCCTAGACAACAACTAATCTACTTTTTGTCTCTATAGATTTGCCTATCTGGGACATCCCTTATCAATAGAATTATACAATATGTGGTCTTTTGTGACGCTTTCCCCCCCCCACTTCATATAATCTTTTCAAGATTCATCCATGTTGTAACATGTATCAGTACTTCTACTTCATAGAATATTCACATTTTTATCCATTTGTCAGAAGATAGACACTTGGGTTGTTNATCTTTTCAAGATTCATCCATGTTGTAACATGTATCAGTACTTCTACTTCTTTTCATAGAATATTCACATTTTTATCCATTTGTCAGAAGATAGACACTTTACTTTTGGGCTTTTATGAATATTTGTGCTCAAATTTCAATGTGGACATATGTTTTCATTTCTCTTCGGTGTTTTACCTAGGGGCAAAATTACTGGGTGGAATTGTGGTAACTGTTGAACCATTTGAGGAGCTGACAGACTTTTCCAAAGTGATTGTACCATTTTACATTCCCACCAGCAGGTGTCAGGTATAAAAGGTTCAGAACAAACTTTAAAGCAGAAGGCCAGCATGACTTAAGATTTCATCACGTCTATAAAATGTTAGAACATGTTCTTGTATTACCTTGCAAATCATTTATTAAGTGACGTGAATTAAAGTGAACTTTTGGTCGAAGTGAACTTTTATTTTTGTATTACACGTGTATGACTTATCGTTAAATGTTCCATGATACACCTGGCTGGCATGGCTCAGTGGTTGAGCATTGACCTATGATCCAGGAGATCACGGTTCCATTCCCGGTCAGGGCACATGCCCGTGTTTCGGGCTCTATCCCCGGTGGGGGCGTGCAGGAGGCAGCCGATCAATGACTCTCTCATCATTGATGTTTCTCTCTTTCTCTCTCTGAAATCAATAAAAAATATATATTTTTTAAAAGTTCCATGATACAAGAGCATGGACCTACTAACATTACAGGTAAGTGCAGGAAATCAGAAGAAATACATGTAGAACAACATAGTCCAAAGTATTTTGTGCATGGGTGAATTGTTTAGATATTTTGCTCAAACTCAAACTATTCCTGAAGAAAATTTTAGATTTTTATTTAAACTTAAATTTTCTTTCATGAAAAATTTTAGGAGCAGATAAATACACTTTATATCAAAGTACTAGTAGAGAGAATTGGTTCAAATTACCTTGTTTCTTTTACTTTTTTTTAAATTGATTTCAGAGAGAGGAAGGGAGAGAGAGAGAGATAGAAACATCAATGATGAGACAGTCATTGATCGGCTGCCTCCTGCACTCGCCCAACGGGATCAGGGAGCCTGCAGCCTGGGCATGTGCCCTGACTGGGAATCAAACTGATCTCCTGGATCCTAGGTCGATGCTCAACTGCTGAGCCACGCTGGCCAGGCCATTGGTTGATTCCTGTATTTGCTCTTACTGGGGATGGAACTGCAGTCTTGGAGTATCAGGATGGCGCTCTAACTAACTGAGCTACCCGACCAAGGCTACCTTGTTTCTTTTAGGCACACCTGATCTTGAGATCTAAACTGAATTTTTATTACAAACTGCTGAAGCCTCTGGCATTGATAATTGGTGAATTCTGAATCACTCAACTTTTGCAGTAATTCTTGAGAGAATCTTCATTCAAAGAACAAGAAAATCTTAATTTAATATGAAGCAACTATGAGAAAGTTGGCATATTAGCACAAATACTCAACTGAAAAGCAAAATGCTTAGCCTGGCAACCCAACACCTTTACTGTACCATAGGGTAGAGAGCAGGGTGTTACTTGTGAAATTTACTGCAATTAACTTTGCCCCAGGGCATGTACTGTGCAGTGGATATACATGTGTGTAGTATAATAGCAGTTCCTAGTTGAAATTTCCAATTTATACGGTGTTCATGTTTGTAGCAAGTTTAGTCCTCTGTTCTCCCCACCCCTCAGAAAGAAAGTTGATTCTGGTAGTCCATTCAGCTCATCAGTCCTGCTCTCATCCTGTTTTTCTTTGCCAAGGATACATGCGGTTTGTTCGATCAGAAGCTCAGAATTGGTATAATTGTAGTTTAATTGCCCAGTAATTTTTAATTCTATATTATTTAACCTTGCAAGAGAACTAATTACAGTGGGTAATTTGGCTAATTTTCTAAAGATGCTTGTCATCAGTATGAAGTTACCTATTGTGTATGAAGTTTCTATTGTTACTCTTGTGGCATTTAAAAGGAAAGACGCAGATGCCATCACAAAATTGATTCATTTTGGTTTCCTGTATGATAGCATCTTTTTTTATATCCCTTCCTGCTTGCTCTTCCAGACAGCAATGATAAAAGCTCTGGAAAACTTAAAATGCAGCCAAGGAGATCTGGATTTCAGTTTCAAAAACAACTTATTTTAAAGATGGATGGAAGCAAAGTTCATTCATTAAACCATAAGTAGCTTTGTAAGCTCCCCCTTCTATTTTTGTTTTCCTTTTTACTACAAGGTATATTTTATCCACAGTTGTCTTTTCAACCCAAATTCCTGGAGACTCAGGTACCTTCACTGCAACACAGCTTTCTTTTCCCTCCCACCCGTCTGGGCCATGCGTACTTGACCCCTGAATATTGCTTTTATCTTTCCAACTTTCATTTTACTCATTTCTCGACTGACTTGGTAAATACTTTGTAGATTAAACTGTGGACATGGAAGGTGGGAGACAATTTTCTTATAAAATCGGTCAGTTTATAATTTTATTCTTACCCTTCGGGTTGCTAGCCAATGGACTGGATACTTCTCTTTGCTGGTGAAAAAAATCAACTTTTGGGAAATTACTTCCCCTAGGTCATCTGGCTAGTCAATAACAGAAAAACAAAGTTGACTAAAACAAAAGGAATGCTTCAGGGACTTTGAGATTCAAATTAGACAAAAGAAACAAAGTTTCTTTAGGCATTTAGAAAAA